CCAAAGCATAATGCATGCAATAGGTAAGTATCATTGAACTCACTGGGCTTTAGATCAGGTCTGATTATGCAGGAAATATATTTTTACATTGATTTGCTATTAATAAAATAAACTACATTGTCTTTATTACTCCATTTAATCATAAAATAGTTACAGTAGGGTTGAAGCAGCTATACAAGATATATAGGGGCATAATGAGGAGCAACAGCCTTAAGCTGTACTAGAGGAAATTTAGGCTGGAGATTAGGAAGGACTTTCTGACTACGAGGGTGGTCAGGCATTGCAACAAACTACCTAGAGAGGTTGTGGACATCTCATTCCTGGGAATTTTCAAGAACAGGTAAAACACTTGGCTGGGATGGTTTAGTCAAGGATGATCCTGCCCTGTGCAAGGAGTTGGACTAGTTGACCTTGTGAGGTCTTTTCCAGCCCTATTTTCCTATAATCCTAGGTCATTGCTTTCTGTTGAACCAGTCTAAATAGCAAAAATAGCATCAAAAGCTTGTACAGTGATTTTATTTTCTTTATGTTCTGTGTTTAAATTTCTTTACTAGCTAGTGATTGGAATCCCAATAAATGTAGAAAATGCAAATAAAGAGTTAGGGCTTACTGGGCACATCTACACGTGACACTACATCGCTGTAGCATTGCGCTATGGTGATGTGGCTTGCTGCTATGGTGATGCAGCATCGCTGGGCACAAAGTGCAACATTGACCCAACATCTATGTAGTGACGAGCTACCTCATTATAGTATGTTGCTACAGTGATGTAGCATCTAAAAATAACCAGCCACCACATCATTTAGGGTTCCAAAAGGAAGTAATAAATAACGGCTCAGTAACAACAGCACTGTGGGGGGCACATGTAGATGCACCCACTGACTTTTAACTTTCTGATTCATTCATTGGAAATATAAGTATGTACTTAGTTTGTTAGGTAAATTTCTCTCAATGGTAAATAGAGAAATTTCAACATGTTTATTACAGAAGGTACCTGCAGTGGTAGTTATAGGTGTTGAAGAGGTAAATACAAATGGTGTTGTGGTTACATGACACTCATAGACAGTTCTGTTGATTTTTCCATCCAGGTCACAAGCTGCAACCATACATCCACCAATACCATCTGTAGTGTTGTAGATGACAGCCTGATATGGATAAGTCTTTCCATCATATGTGCAACTGCAGTCTGTAAATCAAAAGAAAATGTCATCCTTGGACACTGAGAATTTGAAACAGATTCCACCATGTGCTTCATATTCAAACTGAAACTGCTTTGTCAACATACCATGTTTATTGTACGTGCAATTGATTTTGCCTTCAAGTGTGCATTCACTGGGGAAAAAAAGAAAAATGAGTAAGCTCAAAAGTAGTTTTTCTTCAAGTCATTTTTTCAGCAGTGAAGTTCTGCTGCAAAAAGGCAGATAGGGTAGGATCTTTTAAGCTATGGACAGGGTTTGCCCTTGATATGTTCCAAAAGACTGCACTGAAGAAGGCTTTGAAAGTAAGGGAAAGATGGAGAGGAGCGGTTGGAGGGGATATCCTAATCATCTCTTTCCTTGGAGAGGAAGTGCACTGAATGTGGCGCACCTCTATAACACATAGTTGCCACCCTGGCCATGTCTACAGAAGCGTGGACGTTTGGTTTCCTGGTGAAAACTAGCCACAGTGCACCTTGTGCTGCTGCTAGTTGTTCCAGGGGAATACCTCAGGTGAGGTAGGGGAGGCTGGGACCAGCACTGGGCTGGCCCCAGGAGCCTTACACTGTCCCTGTGTGCGCTGCTCCACTTTTTTTTTTCTGAGGGTTTTTTTGACCCCATCAACCCCCCGCCCCCCTGCACTGCAAGGGAGCAGTGCAGAGAACAGCTGAATACATGGGATGTGATGCCGCAGACATGTCTGCGGCGCCACATACTGCACAGCTGCGCTCATCTGGACATGGCCACAGAGTCTCGTTTGCTACTTTGTTACCTGGTGAGAAGGATTTTGTCTCCCTCAGACTTCTACCTGTTAGAACACAGCCTTTTCTCAGGGTTTGCAAGATATAGGGGGAAGATCTATTATTTAGGGCTAGTCCCAGATACCTCTCTTCACACTGACTAAGAGTATACCTGTACAAGCTGCAGTCCCTATAGTGCAGACCTACCCAAGCTAGCTCAAAACTAGCTTGCTTAATCACCAGTAACAGGAGTAGCCTCAGCAGCACAGAGTGACACAAGCTGTAAAGTCCACCTAAGGAGCTGCACCAGAGCATGAGAGCTACTCTGCTAGAGGTATCTAAACACTTTAGAGCTAGGTCAGGTGCATCTACAAGAGCTGCAGTCACTGCAATGGCTACAATTTAGACAAGACCTGATGCCCTACACAATGGAATAAATGTGCTACTCAGTGACTGCATCTATGTGAGCAGTGGACTGCGCAGTTGTTACTGCACAGTCATTTAGTACTTGCTTAACCAAGTACAAAATGACTGCACAGTAACCGGCAGTACCAGTGCCGCTCAAGGTTTTTTAGATGCTTGTTACTACTGTGCAGCAGTGTCACTGTTATGGTTCATGCCTGTTGATGCTATGGCACCATAGCAACAAGCTATGGCGCTGTAGCATCTCGTGTAGACACGCCTAGTATAAGAGAGCTGTTAGCATGATTCTCTAAGCAAATATCTATACATGGAAGGAACCAGTTATGAAAAAGAAAACACTGAGGAATACTAAAGCACCCAAATAACTAGATGATTATAAGCAGAATAGCAGAAATAAGGAATAAAATTAATAGTGAACACAATCTTATGTAACAATTTCAGCAAGGTCATGGTAATGTGTTTTTTTAAATGAGGTAAAAACTGAAAACTGAAAAAAAATTATCCTTCCACCTTCCCCCCTTTTTTAGTAAGAGAACACACAATAAACCAATGACACATACATTGAATAAATCACTCCAAAAGAAATAATTTCAGAATGTGATCTTTCCTGTCCTGGTAACAAAATCAAATAGCTTTTAAAAGCTGTTAGCTATTTATGAATGGTAGGCAGACATTTCTGTTCACAAGCAATGGAATGGTAGTGCTTCATCTATTATGTCCCAATCACAACTTCAAATGCACCTTGCTAAAATCTTTACACAGCTAAGCTTACCATGAATAACAGTTTTTTTCTGAAGGAATCTTTGATCCTGGTGTGTAATATTTCCCCGTATTGTCATAACAGCCGCAGGTTTCAACACACTTCATATTTTCTTCATTAAAATAGGGTTTTTCATCTGGACAGTTTGGGTAGCAGCCTGCAGTAACAAAGAAATACACAGACACCATTTCTTTAAACAGGAGGTGATTTTAGCCCAAACAAATATCTAAGCTCTAAATGGATTTTGCATATAGGGGTTGAATTTTATCTTTTGTGTCTGGCTGTATTTTTTGGCAATCCAATAAATTACTGTCAGTTTTGGGGCATTAATTAGGATCTTTTCCCTAAACATGTTTGTGACTCCTTTAGAGAACTACAGACTATTAAGAAAGACTCCATGATCGCTCCTGTGTCTTATCCTTTTTAAAAAAATCTTTCATTATGTTGAGTAGTAGGAACTGTGTTCACCATATGTAATTATCCTTTATTAGAAAAATGCATTATGCACAATTCTTTTTACCTTCCAGGCCTTGTAGTTCATGACTGCAATTTCCACTTTTGTTCCTGCAGGTCTTTATACATGGGGCCCCACATGGCTTGTAGTGCCACTCACATTCCTCTTTTGGGTTGTAGTAATCACAGAAGACAGCTGGAAGAGGGAGAGATGTGAGAAAATATACATTAAAATGCTTCTCAGGGGCTCTATTTCCAGAAATATAATGGGTACAAATCTCATTCCTCCAGTATATTCCTGCATATAGTGACCAGGGAGTCAACTGGTTTCTAATTTTATGCAACTGTTTTCCTTCTTCAGTTGTATTCAGAATAACGAGATTACAATGCATCAAATGGAGACATACAAAAACAATAACAACTCAATTAGCTAGAACATAAAATATTCTGTCTCTAACATGCCTTGCCATTTATTTATACTAAGCCACAAGCCCAACAGCTGGGCATATAATACAGTAATGTAACTTAGTAGGAGATAATGGTATCTCATAAACAGCAATTAAATAATAAGAAACATAACAATTAATACAATTAGTACGCTATGGTTTTATTTTCATGATAGCTACAATTACAGGCTGGTCCTTACTAATTTACTACTGGCTCCTCCTAGAAATACTACAACACCTCTCACCACACAGTATTTACCCCTCCTTACTTTTTCTTCCTACATATTTTCCTTCTCATTCTTAATTGCTTTTGTCCTCTCTGCCTCCATCAAGTTATAGGATAATACTCACGACAAATGGATGGGGTTCTCCATGAAATGCAGATGCCAGCCTCATTACATTTTTGAGCATATGCAGCTACTGCTGTACAGAAACATTCACAATCTCCCCCAGTGTCACATGCACAAGCATCCGTCACACATGCCTCATAATATTCATTTGGTTCAATCTGTTTAAAGAGGAGTATGTCATATTTAATGTTTTTATTTTATGCATTTGTCATCATGCTTTGCAATAGCAATTCACCTTGCCCTTTAAAATTGGACTCAACATCTGAAATGAACAAACTGCTTTGTGATATAAGAAAATAAAGGAACTATAAACTGGGAAGGAAGTCTCAACAAGAATGTGTCAGTAAAATGAAGTGAGAATGTCAAATTGAGGACACAGCATGAGTAATTATAAAAGAAGTGACTACCCTAAGAACTGTGTAATATTATACATTCACTGGGAAACAGCATGTAATTAGATTAGTATATGCTGTCATAACAACCAGTATGTTAACAATTAGATACATTATCAGAAGCTGATCTTGATGGACAAAAGAACACAGCCTTGAATCTTTCTGTCCCATTTAAAAAAGTGGGACCTGGTGATACCTGTACTACTGTCAGTAGCTTTTTTGGTGTACTCATCTACATAGCAAAAAGAGAGGAGATAACTATGGATGAAATTTCTGCATAGTCCACCTGGAAATAGTACTGACTCCAATTTGTCTGCTACCACCTGATCCAGCTCCTACTGAAAACAATGGAAAATTCCTGTTGACTTCAGTAGGGAACTAGATGAGGTCCACCATGAATAAGCATCTTCCACACAAATTTAAATACACATTAGAACAGTAGCGGAGAGCCTTTATGTTTTGTATGGGGATTGGCAACTCAGTGCATAGCCCTCAGGCACCCTATAAACAGTATAATCCCTGCTCAGGAGAAATCCATGCAAAAGGTTTACTGTACCTGAGAGTGGCAGCTTGCAAATACTGTGCTGGTGATGATGCTGCACTGTTTTTTTGCCCAGGAAGCCCTGTAAGGGTTTGTAGTGCAAGGATTCTTGCTCACTTTGGTATCTGGACAAGAAGGAGACACTTTCCAGCTGTTTCCAAACTCTATCGCATCTCCTACCACAGACTGACTCCTAGTGGTAAAGTCATTGATGCCATTTCCATCAAAGTTTCCGCACAGGCCACAGACCTGACCCTGTATAAAGATGTGGACAAAATAACAAAGGTAAATACAACCTGTGGGTAACAGAACTCCTGACTTTTCATATTTAATGATGACTGTGACTGTCCAACGAACGTATCTTGCTTTCCTCTGAGAATACATTTAAATAAAAATATTGCTTTTGCCTTTTGTATTGAATTTTGTCTGAAGACAGAAGTAGAGTGGACCTTCTTTTTTTAGTATTTGTTTAAAAAAAGATTAATTAGCTAGATTTTGTTTTGGACACACCTTATTAGTGATGATTTTTAGGTAACTAGTGAGCTATGAAATCATTAGTGATGTAACATGTACAATCTGTGTGCAATAAATTACACAACCAGAATCATTCCAATGCATTTTGTAACTCTAAAGGAATTGCACTGAGATGTGGAAAACATGAAATCACATTTCTTTCACTTATAGTCTTTTGTTCCATTGTGCCTTCATTCTCTTCTTCAATAGGTAATAACAAAGTGGATTCAAGATAGATGACCTGTGTTGCATGGCTTCTAAACTTACCTTAAAATTAGAGCTGAGTTTAATAAATAGGCTGGTTTTCTTATCCCACATGAGTATTAGTCCAGCATCAGTGTCAACCACCAGGTAGATACCCATGAAGCGGATTGTGAATGGCATTTCCCCTCCAGGGACCCTCTGAATCACTTCATAGTTCCCATCACTGAGTATCAGTTCATAGTTCTGAAATAAGAAGAGAAACCAAAAGACAGTTAAAGAGCCAACTGATGTTTCTGGTTTCATGTATCACTTTCAACATCACTATAATTATTATAACTATCATAATTAAAATGATTCTATTCAATAACTCATTATTTTATTAAACTACTCACCCCCATAAAAACTTTAATGGACTTTGAGCAAGTGGTTCCAGTGGTACCACAGGGGATGTTCTCAGTGATAACTCGGAAGGTTCCTCCCAGGCTGCTGTTGTTCGTACCACAATAGTTCTGAGGAGGGGAATGATATTCATTGTTAGCAATGGAGTCACCACATGTACAAGCACAAGGTACTTTCTTATTGTAATAATCCAAGGAAGAAAGCTCAGTACCTGGACCAATGTGTATTCACAATCTCCACTGAAGGTGTAGCGTTTGCCATCAAAAGAGATGTAATGCCCATCTCCATAAACAGTGCAGGTTGCCAGACAAGATTCATTGGTGCATTGCCACTGTCTGTTTTTACATGTGCTAAAGAAAAAAGTCAGACGTCCAAATGTAAAAATGGAATCACCACCACCACCAAAACACTTTTATGGCTTCATTTCTAATACAGAGGTAGATGCATATTCAATTAAGATTCATCTGTCCTTTAAATATATGCTTAATGAACAGCAATGGAAAAATAAGATTTCCTTATTCTAAACACTAATGCACTGTAACTCTGTATAAACAGCAGATAAACCCCGGCATGCCCAAATATTAAATTATTTGATGATTCCATGAAAACCAGCATTTTGGTTTTCAGAACTCCTAGAAGTTTTTGAGATGTATATTCCATGTAGGGACTGCAGACAGATTAAGAGGGTACAAGTGTGTATCTCTATTGGACATGACAGCATCTAAAGTTCACTCTTCTCCTGACCACTTCCTGTCTATTCTCATTTGTCCTGCTTGCCTATGAAAAAAAGAGAACCCACTTTTTATGATAACCATTAAGTTTGTTATTAGTTGATAAGCAAATCATCTTGCACTTTCATTCCTAGGCAAACTATAGTGTGCAGCTATATGCATTGTATCAATGCTCTAGTGAATGAAATGTGACTTCCACTCAAATGTGTACCGTAAGTCTTAGTACTGATACAGAAGAAAATACTCTTCTGTTTTAGTTTATATATTTTATGTCCAACATATACCTACCAAGTGTTACAGCCAACTTTGATTGTTTCCCCTGGTTTGTAGGAGTTCTCATTGTGAACACATGGACACTCTTCTGCCGGTATGCAGACACCTTGCCCATCTGCCACTAGATTGCCAGGACAAATGCAGCCAGAGAGACATTGTGTGCTGTACTGTAAGAACCATATGAAAAATATGATTTGATAAATGGTGTCAGTGAAAGAGACACATTCAATTGGTGCAGCAAAGATTTAGTTTTGGTCAGGATAGGAAAATGTGTTCCAGCGGATATAAAATATCCACACTTACGCATTCCATATCAAGAGTCTGACAGCTCTTCTGGCACTCAGCTCCAGTTACACCTGCAGCGGTGTTGGTGCAGTTAAAGTAGACCATTGGAGATTTACATGCTGTTGAACAAAAAGGCCGTGAGGAACTCCAAGTCTGGCATAATGCTATCAGTTATTGCAATAGTAATTATTCATTATGAATGTGTTTCTAGGGAACCCTGCTTTTAGTGTTAAGATAAGGAACACATCATGATCAGAAAGAACCAGTGATTAATAAATTATCTGGATTTGCTCTGTTAAATATTTCAGAGCCTCACGGAAATCATATTATCTGTGTGAATGGACATAGGTATTTATTTAGCATTATAAATAAACTTAGAAACTCATCAGTTATTGTTAGAAACTTGAAAAAAAATCCTCACTGTTATTAACTGATAATAATGAAATGCATTTTTCATCTAAACATTGTAAAAAAAATCCACTGAATTTATATTAAAATTCAATTAAACCTTTTGTGATTGCTTCTGTAAGGACCTTGCTACGTGTTACATTTAGGCAGCTTCTGGAGCTCTTAGCCCCTGGTTTTGCCAAACATTAACACCTAAAACTAGTTTTAAGAACTTTGGGAAACTTAAAGTTACACCACTTCAGCCTAGGTTTATCTCTGACCCCTGTTAGCCATGCTAGGCTACACGTTAATGTAAACGCCCCCCTCCCCGCCCACCCATTCCCCTGCTGTCCCAGATTGGGCCCATCACCCACCCCTCTGCTCTCACCAGTACTCTGCTCACTGCTCCTCCCCTTCCCACCCCTACTTACTTGTGGCTGCCTGTGCTATCTGTTCCAGGGGAGCAGGTAGGGAAGGGTTAATCTGCCTACCCTTCCACTGCTACCACTGCTTCTGGTCTCTGGGCCAGATGCAGTACAGAAAAGTACAGCAGCTCAGTAATGGTGGTGGTGAGAAGGTGGGAGCGGGCCTGGAGAGGGAACTGGGGGAGCCCCAGAGGGCAAGGGGCTAGGAATGGGACCAGGTGGGGCGGGGTGGGGGAGATTCTTACCTGCTGACCTGAACTTGTGATTGCTTCAAACTCAAGCTAGCACTAACAGCCATCAACATTTGAGCAGCTCACAGTGTAACATGTAACAAGGCCCTAATTTAGGCACCAGATTGTTAAAACATGCTATTTGCATGTGTAATTACAACACTTGTAAGCATAAATGGCTCAGAGTCCCTGTTTGATCAAACTCCAGTTGATACGAATAGTCTTTTTGTTTGAGTAGGAAGAGTAGGATCAGGCTGTATGTCTTGAATTAGCACCTCCCAATCAATGTACAGTAAACTCTCTGGTAACTGGCACCTTACAAGCCGGCATGCTCTGTTAACCAGCATGCCAGCTTGTAAGGAAAAGTGAAACCGAAAGTGCCCACCATGGCACTTCCAGTTTCTCTGAGCCCCCATGGCCCGGGGCAAAGAAGGCTGCGCTGCCAAGCCCCCAAGGCCTGGGGGCATAACAGGCTTCGTGGGGCTGTGCAGGGCCCACCTCCCTGTCCCACGGGGACTGCAGGGCCCGTGGGACAGGTGGCGATGCAGCAGGAAGGGCAGCGATGCCACGGCAGAGACGGAAGGGGCTGAGGGACGTGGCGAGAGAAGTGGCAGCCGGGGCCGCTCAATTAACTGGCATATTTTTTGTTATCCGGCATCCCCCATTCCTGGGGATGCCAGATAACAGAGCTTTTACTGTAGTATGAAATATATAGATGAACTAAAAATATATAGACAGTACCCTGAATATTAATATAATTAAGTTTAGTGTTTGGCATAAGTGACTGGCTTCAGAGCAATAGTTGAATGTTAATATTTTCTTTTCTGTTACATGTAGAATGGCATCTGTGGTATGCTGGAATTGTGCTTATATATATAAGTGCAATATGTGACCTCCCTGCTTTCCAGTGTTTTATTCTCTGGGACCTGATTGTTCTCTTCTTCCTACCAGCTATTCTACTTTTTTTTATGCAATGCTAAGACCAAATTCGATCTTGCTCTGAATTATCTGACATATCCTTTACCTCCTAATATATTTATTTCTACTGTTCCAGAAGGTTAATTATGGCTCTTTACTTCTCAGGAATAATGCCCTCTATACTACAGAATTGCTGTGTTGAGAGTTTCTGATCAGTTGCTTTTTTTGTTTTGTTTCAGATTTTTATCACTGTCATTGCAAGAAAAGAATTCAAAAACATGAAAACGGTAGAGGGGATAAAAGAAAAGCTTAAATGGGGGCTTACCTGGTGCTGGTTTGGCTCCAATACAGTTCAGTTTGCCACGTGTGCAAGAGCTGTAGAAAGAGAAAGGAGTGACTTTTGTTTGAAAGGACAGCTAATTATATGGGGAGCTTCTATCTTGCCAGGTTTCTGGTTTTTCCTGAAGAATCTGGAATATCTGCAGTGCTACCTAGTGGCCAGAGGTAGACAGCGTCCTTTCAAAAGAATGGCTGGTATTTTCTGGATATGATTTTTGCAATGGCACAAAACAAACAAGACTCACACAAAGACAGCCTCGCCCAGTCAAAATGACTAAATGAAATCATGATACTACAACATCTTCCTTACTACTGTTGTCCTCAGAAGTAGTCCTTATGTTAAATCCAGAGAATATCAAGTTATTCCATTTTTTTTATAATGATTAAGTTTGGGCAGAAAATGTGTCTTATTGAAGTTAAAGACTGGATTAAAGAAAAACTATTAAACATGGACAGCTCTAAAATATTGTGATCCCTGGTTCACACTGATCACACTGGTTAAGCAGGCAGGGAAACTCACTTGAATTGACTATGCCGCATAAAATGGATAAGGTTTCATAATTCCATAATTCCCAATATTCAACCCTGTTGTTTCTTAAGAATCTCTCACCAGACAACACCATTGTCATGAACAACTTCTCCAGAATGTAGAATGGATCCTTTGTAGTAACAAGGGCAGCTAGTAGGAGGCACACATTTGCCACTTTCATCCATGTAGGTTCCCTTTTCACAGGTACAGCCATCAACTGGAACAAACTGGATGTTGCATGTGATATCTGGCTCGCTCAGAGACCGGCAGGTCGGTTCACAGGAATCAACAGTGTAGCTGTATGTCATGGTTTTGGGACACGTGGTTGTGTATTTTGCTTGAGAAAGTAAAATAAGGCAAGTTACTTTCAATGTAGCCACACATGCCAGACTTGGAATATGGTATATATGATATAATAGGCACTGTATGTACACAGATTTAAATGAAATAGCCCAAATTCTGTAGTGATGTCCACAGTAATGCAATTTACATGATTTGTATTTTCTATGGTAAAATTTACATCTGAAATTATCATTTTGGTTATACTGTGATCTCTGTCAATTATGGTAAGTTTCTTCCAATTTAAGATGAGAATGTAACCTAACCTACATTTATTTGTATAGTCTATTTTTTCTGTATGTTTATTTTTCCATTGCCTTGAAGTAAGGTAGTATACTAGTGTATTTGAAAGCAATCCAGTCATTCTGTACTCTTTCAGTAAAAGTCTCAAGATCCCTGGTATTTCCTTTACTTCCCAACAGGCATAATTCTTACAAAGCATCTCCAATATCACCCTGCTTACTGCATATCTTACATGACATCTCTCACTTTTTGTTCCCTCAAGGTCCTGCAAAATAGAAGTGAGCTGATGCTAGGCCTTCATCAAACTTGGTTTGAAATTGTATTAGGGGAACCATGATGACCTTGGAAATGTGGTATAATGGGCCTACTGGCTAATCTCTTTTCATGCAATGAACAGCTGTAAAACTTACTGCAGACACCAGCCCTCCAACCATTCAGCTGGATTCCCTTGACAGCACAGGCTTTGACGTACGTTGAGAGGGCCGCACACATGCAGTCCTCACTGTTCTCACAGTTACAGCTGTCAAACATACAGTTCTAGAAATGCAAGTAAGATGTATTAGTAATCATGGAGCTACCCATCCAAAGAAACTATCCTTTAAGTTTTTGTACTTACATGCCAAATTAGTTGGCAGTAACTAGTCTTGCATTGTATTATGTAGCCAAATTCTACCTTGATTTATCCAAATTTGGACCAAGTGTTGCTCTGGAATTTCATCACTACTGCTTACAGCAGAATTTAGCCCATTAATATCTATGCATTTACATATATATAAAATCTATATATATATATATATATATATATATATATAGACAAGTTTATCTAAAAGTGTGTCAGCCATGCACATTATGATTATTTGCCTGTAAGAGAAGTTACCTTGAACACCTACAAAGACCATCAAAGTCCTTTGTCAAGTAGTAAAACTATTTGATTACCACAAATATATTTTTATTCCTCTTTCTTTACTATTTACATGGTAAATTTATAACCAGTCTGGTGTGACATACTCAGTGAAACAAATAAGTGGAAAGAAAGGTACCTAGATAAAGGAGTAGATGATATGATACAGAGATTAAAGTAAACTTTATTGTAGACTGAGAAACCTGCCAGGAGTAAATCAGAAATATAAACCAGATCTTCTTGTTTAGCAAATTGTTCTTTTGGTGGTTGTAATCAGGAAATAAACTCTGATTAGTATTATTTTTAAAGTGGAAAGAAATAACTAGCAATTACCACATAGTAAACATCTGGATTCACTGTTGAGTGGCACTTGGCAAAGGGTCCAGTGGTGGCAGTAAGCAATCCACACCAGTGCTGAGCATATTGTTCTGTAAATACAAAAAGGGATATAAATACTTGAGTCATTTTATGGACTGGATTCTCCTCTCAGTTACATCTTTGCAACTTTACTGAACACAGCTGGAGTTGTAGCAACATAAAGAAGAACTTGGCTCTATTTCTTAAGAAATAAAAAAATGCCCCTGTTCTCTTTACTGATAACTGAACATAATATCAACTGAGTGAATCTGAAACATAATGGTGACTTTGCTTAAGCAAACTTGTATTTTAGAAAAGGAAGTTGCCACTGCATTACAGTTCTTCAGTTCACATCAGCACCAGAGGGCATGTCCTGACAAGCGTGCACATGTGGCTTGTGGCACCTCAACCCTGTTTAAGGCACCACAAATCATGTGCAGCACACGTGCACCCATTTGCCATGTTGGTACAGCATGGCAGTTTTTTTGACAGTGGGAAATCTTGGTGTCAAAAAGAAAACTGCTGCCAAAAAGACCCCTACTTCATCTGGGTCACTTTGCCACGTGCTGGAATATGTGTGTAGGGGCATGCCCATAGACAAATAGCAGAGGGACAAATATATGCCCCTGCTATTTGTCTCATAGTAAATGGGCACCCCTGGATGTGTGTGTTCATAGGGACAGATGCAGAGGGTGCATACATGTGTTCAAATGCACTGGTGGAAGTTAGTTTAGATAAAGCAGTTGAAAACCCTGATGGATGAAGGCCACATAAGTGTTCATCAACTGGTTGCCCAGTCTACAGTTGCCTGTTCTGAAATTTTAATCTGAATTCTTATTTCTTGTCTTTTTCCAGTTTTATTTATTTTTTAATTACAAGACACACATTAAAGTATATTATTACAACAAACATACCATTTTCTATGCTGAGAGTGCAGGGGCTCTCAAAGATGTTTTTGACATTAGGACAATCTGCCTGGGTTTTCCAGGTGTTAGCAAAAGCAGCTGATGTTCCTTCAACTACACCACTTGCGGCTTTGAAGTCATCTGCCTGTATATTGTTGAAATTTCCACAGAGACCTGGGGGAAAAGGGCGGGGAAGAAGCAAACAGGGTTTGATCTTCTCATATAAGACCATGTACAATTTCAATGGCTAGGAGAAACTAGTTATACTAAGTCTACTCACCACATGTCAGCCCTTTGTGGGCTGGTTCCACATTTACATACGCTTGCATGATGGGTACAAGCTGGATCACTACTTGAAGATCGCTTCTTTGTGCAATAATGAAAAATGATGATGGCTTGAAGATGGTGACATTGGCTGTGGACAAAGAACACAATAAACACATTTACATATTGGATAAAAAATTACCAACATTAAGGATGAGGATTTTCCTTGGAGTAGGCCTTTACTGCACATTGTATTCATTTGAACTGATAAGAAATCCTGTCCAAAGTTGAGTACAAAGTTAACTTTTCCTTGTCCTAGATAATAGCTTTCTCTAGTTTTTAAATCTCTTTGGAGCAAGGAAAGAACATGAACTTCTGTATTGATCTACAAATAGACCTTTGCTCTGTAAGAATTATTTAGCAGGATTTTATCCTAGGATTCAGTCTGGAAATGTCTCATATATATATGATGTTTGTACTTCCTGTGCATGTAAGGTGGGAACTAAGGAGATCTGTGTAGAGTGAAGGTTTTGTGTTCATGACCAAGGTTCATGAAAATAGGCAGAAGAAATACAGGCCAACTGAATAGCATAGCAATTTGGAGGTCTGGTGTTTGGGTCGCATTATACACCAGGAGTTTGCTTTTACTCATACAGCGTACATGCAGACATTCACTGCATCCAGTCTATGACCAACCAGCTTATTTTAAGCTGCATGATCACAGATTGGGAGTGGCATGTGAAGGTATTTGCCAGTCCGGGAGCTGCACTAGGAATCTGGTAAGAGTAACTCAGGGTGGCAGGAGGGGTGGGTATGTTGGAGGGAGCTAGTGGGCCTGCGGTGTGTGTGGTGGGGGGGTGACTGGGGGGGTCTGTCTGATGGTAAGGCAGGCATGAGGCTAAAAATGGCCCAGTCAGGGCTGGTGGGGAGGGAGGGAAAGTAGGAAGAGCATAGCTCTGGGGCCAGGGTGAGCAGTTTTGGCTTTTAGTGTTCAAACATTTGGTAGACTGGGTTAACCCATTCCTCATGTAAGCTAGTTCAACTCCTTAGGTGAACTAGTATAGATCAGGCCCACCATTTTTTGCTCAATTTAACCTCCCTGAACCTCTGTACAGATTGGCCTTAGGCAGATTTAAGTGTAACATCTGCACATACCCACAGTACTTCTTGGGTCTTAGAGCAGCAGAGTATTGTTATGGGACTGAATTGAAGATACTCTGTACTGGTTACAAAGCCAAATCAAACCTCACAAAGAATAAAAAATGCTGGGTAAGCAAAGATTTCATCGTCTTGGTCTTTAAATACATTCTGTTAGGGGGTTCATTGGATTTGCTCCAGTCTAACTGAGAACAAAATTTGGCTTTCGATGAAGCAGTGCACTCAGGCAAGTAAAATCCAAGAATGCCTTGAATAACTTCCAAAGAGACATACCTGCAGAGAAGGGCAGCTGGGTGTAGATCTTGTTCACAAAGACACTGCCAGAAGATTTGATTGCAATGATCTATTCAAAAGAAAAAATGGGGATTGGCAGGCAAACTTAGGGACTGCACAGCACTTTCCAAAGACTTTACATCCAGTATTGTCCAAGGTAAATAAAAAGATGCGATATATGTGACTGTGAAAATCATATATTCAGCACAAATGTCCTTTTCTTTTAAATTGCTTCCCATTGATCATTTAGAAAAAACTATATAAAATATTGTTGTCTTACATTGACTGACTTCCATTATCCACGCTATGGTCTAAACTTATTTGCTGATTTCCTATGTGTATTGTTCTTTTCTTGTGTGTCTATCTTTTGCAAACGGTTCTTCCACTGGTTTAGGGGATAGACTCTTGTTGAAAATATTATTCCATCTGGACACAACATAACGTCTAACATATTTCATATTTCATTGGGAACATAAATTGTGATTAGTTTAATCTGCAATCTATAAAGTATTTTTACAAGATACAGAACACAAAGATTTTGTCTCTGGTTTTTCAATTTTAGCCAACCCACAGGGCATGTCTACATGCGCCTCTCATGGTGCAGTTGTTACCGTGCCATCATTTAGTACTTGCTTTAGGGAGTACTAAATGATGGCACAGTAACAGCTGTTACCGTGCTGTCCCAGTGGCGCAATGGTTATTTTTAGCATCTATGTCACTGTAGCATTGCACTATAATGAGGGAGCTCATCGCTACGGCGATGTATCATCGGCATCATGGTTTGTGCTCCCTAATACTATGTTGTTGTAGTGTGTCATTACGGCAACATAGCATCACGTGACAGTCATCAATTTAAAAAATATTCAGACACAAGGCTAGACATATGTTTTCACTACGTACATTTTGTCCTCCACCAACACTTATGGTTATTCCTTTCAAGCATGTCTCAGTGTCAGTTAGGCCACATTTACGGATTTCTCCCAGGACAGTGAAGTCATTACTGTCACAAAGCTGAAAAAAGAAAAACCAAAAGCTATTGAATAAGAAGTCATTAGTATCAAATGGCATTCAAGATATAATGGTCATTTTAGCCTTTGCTGATTCCTTCTCTCACTCACACAAGCATGCATGCACACACACACTCACACACACACATACACACACTCACCGCAGTAAGATGACATAAATATGTGTAACACTATAAAACATATCAGCGAACTTTGACATTACAGTATAGAGTCACAGAAGGGACTTGAGAGTCCCAATGCTGAGCACAATAGTCCCTACATTTTAGGTGCTTTGTGATCTAGTGAAATTTGTAACATCCAAGTGTGGTACCTAAGTACTTTGTACAATGGAGGACAGATATGTTCTAAATCCTGCCCCTCTCTGGAACTCAGGTACCCTACTCTGCTCTGCAAAGAGGTACCACTCTCTCCTTGGCATTCATAGACCTGAACCCTGCTGTCGAGTTAAGAACCAAAACTTAAAGCAGCTACTGATAGCATTAATTAAATGCAATATATTATGTCAGCAGAAAAGGTGATTCCTATTTACCTTTGTCAGTACATAGTTACAGTCTCCAAAGAAAGTGAAACGTTTCTCATCAAATGTGGAGATGTGGGACCCTCCTTCAATACTACATGTCCCAGGGCATGAAAAGCTGACACAAACCCACTGGCCATCAGTACATGTGCTAAAATAAATGAAGACATGCTGATTAAGCCTGATTCATATAAACACAAAGGAAATCAAAGAAGATGGGAATCCATGACACTTTCATTTTCTCCTACTTTTGGTCATAGGTTCTTTAAGGGAAAAGAACAGTATACAAATAAATGATTAATTGATATTGCTTCGAAAACTCAGAAAAAGGGAAGGGCATATCTGCCTCATTGAAAATCCTTGGACCTAATCCTTCAGCCCTGGTGAAACTGGGAGCAGCTCTATTGGATGCCTGGAAGTTTTCCCTGCTGAATTTGGCCTCTTGGCTTCATTACCTTGAGTCAAAGTGGCTTACAAATAAGAGAGACTTGGTAGATTTTTGTTCATATATATACATATTCACACATACTGAAGTAATTATATTTTATTTACTCTAGGGGAGCCAGTAATATACATGCAGAGGTTATTACACATTTGCATGCAATCTGTCTCTCTCTGTATATCCCTTTATTTAGCACATCTCTAAATTTCAAATAGCACATATACAGAAGATTCACATTTCAGATCAGAGTGCTCCAAGGCACGTATGAGGCCCACAGTATGGTTGTTTATATTTTGAAGTGCTGATTTAAGCCTCTAATGACTGGCCTTGTTGAGTTGTCCTTACCAGGACATCCTTGTTCAAATTCAGGTGTTTGTTCTCTAGAAACAGGAACTAGAGAAGAACAATTTTTATAAAACCATTATATCAGAATGTTTAAATTAGTGTATACCCTCATTCCCAAATACTATGTAACCAATGATTTGTCCCCCAATTATTAGGTAATGCACAAAAGGCAAAGATTTGACAAAAGCAATGACTTACCAGGAACTGCATGTGGATGTAAATTTGGCCCCTGGAGCATATGCTTCCCCTTTGTAGGTGCAGTAGCATTGTTCGTGGGGGATACATCCACTGTTGTTAATATCATCATACACAGTTCCTAAAGGAAGAAACAGTATATTCATTTTGCTGTGCTTTCCAGAAGCCGCTTTGGAACATTTCTTTGGGAGACTTTCTAAAACATGTTGCATGTCTTTTTTACACCAGAGAAATGGTAAAAAAATCTTAACAATGGAATCTCTACATTGTTTGGACAATGTCAGGTTTCCAAGAGGTTGGGGGCCACATGCTCCATGGAGCACATCAGAAAGTGCTGCACATCACATGGACCATACCAGGGTGAGTCAGAGGCCCCTGGCCCATGTGCCACATGGTTACCCCTATTGCTGCACCATACAAAGCCCTGGACTTACCCTCCATTGCCTATGCTGCACACTGCACTGTCCTTTCCCCTGGGAAAAGGGAGGGGGAGCCTGGACTCCTCAGCTGCTTCTGCAGCTACAGTAATTGGGAAATCAGCCCAGGGGCTGTGGCTTAACCCCTCATGGGCTGCATCAGCCCACAGGCTATCAGCTGTAGAGCCCTGGACTATGTAACCAATTTAGCACTAGCTACAATCCTAGGTCTCCTTTGTTATATGCTAATCAGGAAAGAACCATTGCAATAAGCCCTCACTAAACTGAGTAGCCAAAGGACAGAATAACAGCCGGTAACTGAGTAAAGCTAAAATCTCAATTGTATCATTGTACATGTAAGAGAAAAAGTAATGTCAGGGATGATAATTTTATTTTGACAAGTTATGGCTACATTTTTCAGCAAGGGGATACCACATCTGATCATGCAATAACAGGGCCAGAAGAATAGCTATAGGAGATGCTGCCAAGCAGAAGACTCATCCTACAAATTCACCAGTTAGCAAAACTTCTGAACACCAGAACTCAGTTTGTTGGCATTTACTAGCTGTTTAAGCACTGGCACCTATATGTTATGCATAACTTTTACGAACTTCAAACTGCTGAGTGCCCACTTAGTTTCCCTTGGTTAAAGAGGGCAATGGGAGTGGTCAGCACACCACAGGCAATATAGATCCTCCTGTAGAATAAGACTCAATGTTGCTAATACCAGGAAATATTTTTGTGGGCAAAAGATGATTAAATGTTTTATAAATAGTGGCTGTGGAAGCTGCCAGGTTTAGACAGCTCCCTGTCATGTACTAAGTTCAACCACTTCCTGCATGTCACATGTATGTCTTGAGCAAACTCCTCCTATTTGAAAGAGTTTTTCTATTGACATGGGTAGAAATTATGCACATGTATCAAGAGAAAATACAGATGTTGCTTTAGCTGCAGTAAAGGCTCAGTGCGCCCTCGGAGAACTGCTGAACCTGTATCCTTAAGTGTTTTGGTGGCGTTGAAGAGAAAAGGGAGCCAAGGTAGCAACTTGCCTGGAGGACAAAGACAGCCATCTGTACAGTGGTCTTCACAGAGCTGAGATCTTTCGGGGTTGGTGCAGGTGTCTGGGCAGGGGGAGCCACACTCCTGGTACTGCATGTTGAAAGGGCATGATTTGGCTGCAAATAGATAAAGTGACGTAGCATTTTTAATGAAGGCTTGAATTGTCTAGAATTGGCTTCTCTCCATTTAAAATTTGGAGAGGCAGCATCTGTAACTAATAATTGCATTCCTTGAAAGGCAATGAGGATTCCTCATCCAAAATATTAGAACCCCAAGTCAATGCCTTCACATTTAAAGTTTTTAATTTCTGCCTCCAATACACTCTAGATATTTGTGACTCCTATGAGTCTGTACAGGCGGGGTGGGAGGAAGGGGTGCATTTAACATTTTTGGAATGGCTTGATGGCTTCTTGAAAGCAAGGGTGAAAATCATTTCCTGAGATACTTACTGCAGAGTCCTGAAGTTCTCCAGTTCAGAGGTTCCCCACCAGCATGGGCACATTGCCGGGAGTATTCAGCAAAGGTGTTACACATGCAGGATTCAGCCATTGGT